AGCAGTCTGATCCGCTCCAGGTGTGACAGTGTTGTTACAATCCCGGATCTGTGTGCCGATCCTGCACGATCAGACAGGACGCCCCTGTGACCCTGCAGGCGTCTCTGCTGGGAAGCCCCGGCACCCCAAAACACTGCTTCCCGAATCGGGGCGGGGATGGACCGATTTCCCAAAAGCCCCATGACCGGAGAGTCTCTCGCCCTGACACGTGCACGCGCCCAGCGGCTCCCTCGCGCCGAGGCACGCACACGCACGCGCGCCCATTGCCGCCCCCCACCTCCCCGAGTCTCTGCCCCCCTCTCCCGCACGGTGACGGAGCAGGGCGCCCCCCGACACCTCCGCGCCCGCTTACCTGTCCCCGCCGGGCGCCTCAGCCGCGCTGCGCCATGGAGCCGCGCGTCAGGAGCGAGAAGATCCACAGGGGGGCGGCGGGACGGGCGGGACGCGACATCCACTCCTCTCCCCTCGGGCGTGACGGAGCCCAGCGGTCCCCGCTGCCGTGCGGCCTGATCGCTGACACCCCGGGCAAGCGCCGCCGCTCTGCTTTTATCGCGGCTCGGATCGGAACTGACCCTTCCAAGCCCCACTTCGCTGGGAACGGCAAGATGGCGCCACTTCCGCTTCCGCTTCCGCCCCCTGCCTCACGTGCCCCCGGGTGGGCGGGGCCGGCTGCCCAGGGAGGGGTGGACGCGTAGATCACCGTGTAGGGCAGACATGCTTCTGCCATCTAAGAGCTCCTCTGCTGTAGATCGTACACACCAGCTTGCTCTTAGACTGCACAGGACGCACATGAGCTAGCTCTTACATTGAATAATATAGACAACTTGTAGCTCTTGTGCTGTATAATGCAGAGATCCTGTAGCCCTTATACTGCATCATCCTGACATCGGCTGGCTCTTAAACTGAATCGTTAAGATATCAGGGATCTCGTATACTGTTTAGTATAAACATTAGCTGGCTCTTATGCTGTAAGTTAGCTCTTATAATGTGTAGTGTAGAGATCAGCTAGCTCTTATACTGTAGTGTAGAGATCAGCTAGCTCTTATGCTGCATATTATTGACATTGCACTCGTGTGCTGTAAACTGAAGTATGCTGAAGTATTTAACTGATAACGAGAGGGTCGATGTACAGCAGGCTACACCCTGCACTTATTGGACACACTGTATACACCCTGCCTGATACAGGTGGAGCATAAACTGGGTAGTGTTTATTATAATACAATGTTTATCAGGTACAATTCAAGGATGTTCAAGTAACATACAACCATATACTTCACAATTCCTATCTATGGCACAGTCTGCAGGGCTCATGTATTACTTACAATACACTACTAGATTATACTATTAGATTATAGACTGTTGCAATACCGAACACAACCATGAATCAGAAAACATTGACATGGAGAGAGTTTACTTGTTTTAAAACAGCTAACTGTTTGAGGGAAACCATGAGTTTAACAATAAAGACAATATGCCTTCTTATGGAGAATTTTTCATTTACAAAACTGATACACAGAAGAGTTACAAAGTAAAAGATGGTCTGTTTTAAGTGCAACTGTTATTCACAAAAGCCACCACTAGAGGCACTGTATAAACACACCTGGAG